GCCCCCAATTCCCCTTCCCTTCCATTTATCTTCCCTTTGCGCTGTTTCCCTTCCATTTGCGCTGATGGGGAGCCTGTTCCCCACATCACCCTTCTAACAGGTCCCCAATCCCCCGTCCCTTCCCTTTCCCTTTGAGGACAACATGCCATATTTTCTGCTGTAGATGTAATAAAGGCTGGAACTGGAATTAGGTTAATTGGAACTGTACTCAAGTTGGGATGTCATCTTACTTTATTTTCTTTTATCTCCATTCAAGCAGCCAGTCGTAAACTAAGTAAGGGATCATTTGTTGAATAACACAACATAACAGAATGGATATTCTACGAAGGTGCCAAATGCACAAGAAAAGCTAGCTAACTGTTATTTGTTCTGTAGAGTGCAATCTTTGTCTATTAATCCTAGTACTGTCTTTAAGCCATTGGGTGAAATTTTGATTCCAGAATTTCATTTTCTCTGGACGATAGTTGCTGAACATGTCGGGATTCACCTGGATTCTCAGATAGTCTTTGTTGGTTAAGTCGAATGTTTGCCATTTAACGCCATGCACAGGATTAGGTGTCGGGTTTCCAAATTTGGCAAAGTTGATAAACATGGTCACCATAATGTCGCTCACAGTTCTGTCATCCTTATCATAACCGCCAGGCTTAAGGAAAGGTTTGCCGAACTCGTACGCCTCCGTATCGCCGTGGGTCGGTCCCATCCATTCTTCTGGTGCTTCTGTTTTGCGATGTCCATGGGCAAACTCAAACATGTAGGTAGGAGCACCGTGTTTGCTATGGAAGGTCAAGGCAGCATGGGTTGGCGCAGCTACAACGATATCAGTAAAAATGTCTACTAAAACTCTCTCGTATTCAGATTTAGAGAGGCTCACTTGCGAGCTCTGTCGCAAGTATTTCTCTGATATTTCTTGAACAAAAAATCGTAGCTGTGCCTTTTTTTTAACTTTCAACCGTTGTTTCAGAGCAAAACGTAAGGCATTTTGAAATTTGTTTAGACTGTCTATCTCAAAGCCTTTGTTTCCGCTTTGAGGAATTTGAAGCTTTATAACATCAACAAACTGCCGCCCTTCATCACTAGTAAAACCAGCCATGAAAGGAATCGTTTTAAATTTTCCATCGCCTCTTAACTTCAGTGGAATGTCAAGAAGGAAATGTTTATCAACAATTGGCGATGATATTGAGTCAAGGCTGGTATTACTTAAAATGTCATACCAAGAGTGTGATTGTAAGCATTGAACTTGATCCAATCTCTCGTTACACTTCATTTTGGTTATTAGTTGTTTACTGGCCTCTTCAACCTCTGACTTTGGCTTGAAATATAATGGGCCCACTTCCACGTCTACACCACTCACTGCAATACCTCGATGAAACAGTCCTCTGGACAGAGGTGATAAGTAATGTAATCCCACACTAGATCCTCCTGCGCTTTCACCAAGGAGAGTCACGCTCTTCTTATCACCACAAAATCCCTCGATGTTTTGTTGGACCCACTTGAGGGCCTCTACCTGGTCAAGAAGACCCATATTTCCCGGTGCCTCTGAGTCCCCAGTCGTGAAGAACCCGAATGGTCCAACTCGATATTGGATAGTAACGAGAACAACATCGCGAATTGGCAAATACTCGCCTGGTACATCGTCAAAGGTAGAGTAACCGCTCTTAAATTTTCCTCCGTGTATGAACACTATTACCGGATACTTTTTGGGACCATTTATAAATGGAGTGTAGATGTTTAGGTACAGGCAGTCTTCGCTTACGTCCTTTGCTTTGTCAAAGTCAGGCCGGCCCCCTTTTATTCTTTCAATGTCGAGCCCGCTTTGAGCACAGATCGGTCGATAATAGGTGGCATCGTACTCACTTGATCTTCTTATGGTGAGAGGTTGTGGGGGCTTGAATCGCAGAGTGCCATTTGGCGCTTGAGCGAATGGAATGCCCAAGAACTTGTAGATAGGTTTTATGTCACCTTCTTGGCAATGAAGAGCTGTTCGTTTTCCCCTCACATAGCCTTGTTTTGTTAAGACCCGCGAAACGTTTCTACCGCCGAATCCAAAGACTTGGACAACCTGGGCTGCCAACAAGGAAGCCAAAAGAGCCCTGTAAGTGTACGACTTCATAATGGCGATAAATGAGTTATATCTCAGTAATCCTAGCTATTGATATAGGACACCTTAAACAATAGAATGAATAAACATGAGGTAATCTCTTATTGAGAAATGTCAAACAAAATGAAAAAGAAAAAGAATGCATTTTTTTCATAAATGCTTAATCAAATATTGCAAAGAAAAGAGGTTTTTCAATATCAAACCTGCAGATTTACTAGTTTCACACTATAACATATGCTGGTATGGGAATTTAAAAATGTATGTCAATCAACAAGATATATCCGAAGAGTAAGCTACATCACAATATCCAACAGAAATTACTGCATTCAGGCTGAATTTATGGTTTGTATTCTTCTGGTGAGTTGTAACGGAAGGCTCCCGAACTTTATTCCATAAAATATTTTGAGTAAAATTAAAGGAGGGACCGTTGGTCGGTCTATCAGGTCACCTGTGCATGGGCAGGTTTTATCCCATTTTTCACTTTTTCATTCCACTGCAATAAAGTCGCCTATTTCATACCAAGGCGTCTCTATCTAGATTTTCTAATATAGATTCGACTCAGACTAGTATCTAGTGCTTTGACTACAGTAAGGACATGGAATGGCTACAGGAAATACAATTAGCTTTTAATATCTTTCCTTTCTTTTAATTATGTCTTCTGATATAACTGAGAAATTCAGAAGGTTTTTTTTAGTAGATGACAGCTAGACATGGTACCGCTGTTACGCAAGGGAAGCACATCAAAAAGTCAATGATGTCATTCGAAAGAGAAGCTTTGATTTCTTTTTTTCCCTTTCTTTCTTGTTTCTTATTTTATTTCATCGAGGTAGTAGACAGCTATCTCATCTTATATATTATTATATTGTATTTTACATGAGTGTGCGGTGTTGTTTTTCTATCGATTGCTTCGTTATTTTCATGAAGAACTTGACTGTCAGTCAACTGCTTAAAATACTAGTAAAGTGAAAAGGCCTATTCCGGGTATTACCCTGCGTAAGACTGCCTTATGTCGCCCTATATCGCTTAAGTTATGGCCATTTATCAAAACTCCTTATGAATTAGTTCGCCTATGATTAACTTATATTGACATTAACCCGTGGCAGAGGGAAGGAACTTGGAGTAGACCTGTGAAAAGTTGTCTCCTGTCTTTATCCCTAGCCATACTACAGGGTTCGGTGCCGCAGTGGTTAGTGCTTCCGACTTTCACTCAGTGGTAGAGCCTTTGCTGAGGGGTAATGTTTGTAGGGCGTAGAATCCTTGGCAATCTAAATTGGGAACTTTGAATCCCTCGTGGCTCGATCGGATGACGGTTAAATGGCGGTCCCGTCTCCAACTTGGGAACGTAAAAGGACCATTGAGGATGCAACGAACCTTGGCAGTGACCACCCTCAGTACAAGCAATAAGTTCGGCTTGGCGTAGTGTTCCAAAACGTTTACTAGTGACTACGTTTACTACATTAATAAACATAGAAATATTCATTATATCCACAGCTAGTTTACCAGTGGAATGTTGCCTGGTTGTTGGATAAAAATACAAAAACAGAACACATTCGTGTCAAAATTCCATATGATGCATTTTGTAAGTGTGTGTTTTTTTTTTGTTTGTTTTTGTTTTTGTTTTTGTTGAAAAAATGAACTGTGAAATGTCACGACCCGTTTATTGACTGGTTTTCATGTGAATTTTTTTTCTTTTATGCTAGATTTTTATTCCTTTTAATTTCGCCATCTATTTCCAAGTTTTTTTCTTTAGTTACGTTAGAAACTTTTGCCATTTTTATCGAAATAGTCAAATACCGTTGTGTTCCATGATGACAGACATCATTATTTATAGACTCAGTCCTCTTGCATGTGCCGTCAAAGGAGCTCAATTTATGGGTTATAGATTTATAGAAACCAAAGGTGCATTTGGTAGCCCTGATAATCGTAATTGCGTTGTACTCCTCTTTCTCGATCTTTCTGCTGTTTTTGACACTGTTGATCAAGATATCCTTTTAAATCGCCTTAGATCCAAATTTGGAATCTGTGTAAAAGCCCTCAAGGGGTTCCAGTCATATTTATCTGATCGCTCACAGTATGTCTCGCTATATGGTATTTTATCTGACACTCTTGATCTGAGTTGTGGTGTTCCTCAAGGTTCTGTTCTGGGTCCAATACTATATCTGGCTCATGTATACCTCTCCTGTTGCTGAAATTTTACGTCTATACAATATGTCTTACAATATCGCATCAAATCCTATGGTTATCTAGCCTCTTTTGCAGACGTTATTTGTGTTAGTGGGGGAGGGATAAGAGACCGACACAAATAGCGTCTGCAAAGGAGGCTAATGGTTATCGCTCTTTTTCCGTCTCTGCTCCTCAGCTCTGGAAATCTATTTTGTCTTCAGTAAGAAACATTGCAAGCCCTTCGTCCTTCAACTCATCATCATTGTTATTATTATTATTATCAGCAGTAAACACGTTTGAATGCTAATTAGGTAAGCTAGATAGGGCGTAATT